CAGATGGCAGTGATGGATGGCTGTATGTTTATGTTTACTTGGTTTCCCAGGTGACTGGCGTCCTGGTTTTCACTGGTCACGGCTTGATGAACTTTCGAAGATGTGAGCTGCCTGCCTCAACAGGCCTGCTTTTGGCCCACAGGTCCTCGCCACATTCAACATTGTCAAGAGGGTCATTGTGTTTCTCGGATGGCTAGTTAACTCTTTGCTTGCCACTGCTTCCCCGGGCCTCTCCTTGTAAATTCTAGAACTAGCACAAGGTTCAAATCTAAAACTACATTAAGAAATGTGTGGTTGGCAGAATAATGGCCCCTCAAAGATTTCCACATGCTAATCCTCAGAACCTATGAATACGTTTTGTTTCATGGCAAAGGGGAATTAAGGTTGCAGGTGGAGTTAATCACTTGGCCTTAAAATGGGGAGACTACCCTGGATTCTCCAGTTGTGGGAGAGAAAGAAGAGGAGAATGAGGCATGTGAAAAGGATGGGACTGCCACTGCCGGAGGAAGGGGGCAATGAGCCGAAGCGGTGGTTTCTAGAAATTGGGAAAGGTAAGGGAAAAATTCACCCCTAAAGCCTCCAGAAAGGAACTCAGCTCTGCTGACACCTGATCTTAGCCCAGTGAGACCATTGTCAAACTTCTAACCTACAGGACTATAAGCTAGTAAATTTGTATTGTCCTAAGCCATGAAGTTTAAGACGATTTGTTACAGCAACAGTAATAGAAAATAAATACAGACTGAGAGTGAACACTTGCTTGGCCTCCAAGCTTCACTTGATATAAGTAGTTCTTCCCTTAGCACAGGTAACCTAAACAGAATACCTTCCTCCCCAGGGCTGCTAGAGGCTGTGGCACATGCACTGCTTCCCACAAACTTTAGGAAGGTGTGGGTGACGGAGCTCTAATCATCAATCCTTTTGACTCTGTGAGAGCAGGGAGAACAGTACGGGCTCTGGATCCCGCTGACCTTGGCTGCCATCCTGCCTCTGCCATGTAATGCCTCTCTGTCAGCCCCACCCATGTTCAATTTCTTAAGGAGGACATTACACCCTCATAGGGTTGCTGTCCAGAGTGAAAATATAAAGTGTATAAAATACCTATTTTGGGTCTGGGGACAAGATAGAAATTCAATAAATCATGTCCTCTCTACCCTCTTTATAATTGTTTATCAGCTCTCTCCTGTCCTCTCTAATTCTGTGATGACTATTCCTTAATACCTCTTGCACGACTGTTTCCACAGTTCCTAAAGAGCCAGTTGCAGACCTCACTTTTCCTTGACAGCCTCTAGAATTCTCTTTCGAAAATATAGATTCTCTGGACACTTCTCCTGCTCTCAATCCTCCAGTAGCTCCTGTTGCCTGTGGAACGAAAAGCCCAAAGTCGTGTGACTGTCACATGTGCATCCTTCACAATTTCACTTCCACTTCCTTCTCTGCTATAAGCCACCAGCCTCATTTCCTTCCTTGTCATGCTTTCACTCATTTCCAAGCCTTTGTAGCTTAGTCATTGTTTTCTCTCTCTGCAGTGTCTGCCCTGTAACCTTTACTTAGAGAACTCCTTGTATCTTTTAAGACCTGTTTCAAATGTCACCACTTTCCCAAAGCCTTTTCTGGTTCCTTCAAGAGTTAAGCACTGCCTTCACTCTTTCCAGCATACTATGTGCACCACGGAACTCACCAGAGTGCATTTTCATGATGTGTTTAATATGCCTGTCTCTCCCTTCATCTTTGAGTTCTTTGATGACAGAGACTGTGCATTTTGTACCTTTGTTTCAGAGCTTAGGATATTTGCTTTGCATACAACATATACTCAATACAGAATACACTCAATATTTATTTTTATGGGTATTAATGAATTTATGAATAAACAAATGGTATGTGAACAGTCCACATATCTTTAAAGTTGTTGTCAAGGAATTCTCTCCTACCTTTCCCATCCCAGGTTAGATGACCTCAGGATGGTCCTTCTCTAATGTGGACACACAGTGAGTCTTCTAACACAATAAAATTATTGAACAACTTTGCATTTATTCTGTTCTTTTCTTACTTTGGTTCCCCACAGATTATCCTTAAATTCACAGGATGTATGTCTTTGAACACCTGAGGGATAACAAAATAGCAAGTCAGTAAATCCAATAAAAGAGTTGTGGAAAGTTACAAAAGGTTTTTGTCTATCTAGTCAGCTCTTTCTTTTCTGGGAAATGTATTTTTCTTTCATTTAGTAATTGCTTCCCCTATGCCCCTCATCAACTATAACCAAGAAACTTGAGTGAGGACTGCTTGTCAGAGTGGAGAGGTGGGAATAGGACCCAAAGCTATCCAATCAGAACCTTCTCTGCAGTTCAACTTAAAAATTAAAGCTTGAAGAGCCTTTCTCCTCTTTCAAAAAAGCATTACAATCCAATAATAATGACATCATATTATATATTGTTCATTAACTGACTCCTGTGCCATTGGGTAGAGTTTCTGTGTTTGTTTAGAGCTGTATTTCTAGAATTGAGAACTATGCAAGGTACAGAAGATTCTCAACAAATATTTGTTAAAACAAATGCTGGGGATGTAGAAGCTAAGACTGCCAGGAGCCATAATACCTGCCACGTCAAAGAAATAAGGTAGAAAACACACAGAAAGAAGGAATGAAGTAAGACAGGGAGTCTTGTTAGGTTGAAATGTCCTAGTTCTGATCCCTGACGTTCTAGAACAGAACCTCCGTGGCTTGTGCCTTCCAGTAATTCCCCTTTTTTGGTTTGTGTTAGTTTAACTTGGGGTCCTGTCCCTTATAATGAAGAGAATCCTGACTGATACAGAAATTTTATTGTAATAAATTGAACTGGGAGATTCCAGGTACATGATCAACAAAGGCAGGATAAGAATGCATAGCAGTCAAACTCCTGAGTGTCTCAGTAAGGGACATTTGAGGAAGATTCCAGGGGAAAAAAACTACACTCAATGAAGATTTATTGGGTAAGATCATGTATTTGTTTCCTCTTCCTTAGTAATTTTATTTACTTCATCTTGTGACACCTTATCAGTCAGGATTCAACCAGAGAAACAGAACCAGTAGGAGATATGTGTTAAGAGATTATTTTAAGGAATAGGTTTATTGTGATGGTAGGGGCTTGCCAGGCAAGTCCAAAATGCATGGTGCAGGCCATCAGGAGGGGCAGGCTGGACCTCCTGGGCACAAGCTAGGTGCTGTCCACAGGCAGAATTTCTTCAGAGAAGCCTCAGTTCTGCTCTTAAAAAGGTGTTTGGACTGATTGAATTATGCCCACCTAGATAATCTCCCCAACTTTAAATCAGCTGATTATAGACTTAAATTACATTTGCAAAATGTATTCATGGCAGCACCTAGATTAGCATTTGACTGAATACTTGCAAAGCAACACATCAAAATACCCACTGTACTTCCAACAGCCAACTTCTGCATTTGTCTAGGGCTCATACCAGGTTGGCTCCTGCCACATGCCCAGTATCTGATTAGTGTCACTTTCCAGGGACCCATGGGCCTGCTGGGTTCCTAATTATCTTGTCTCCAGTTTTCACTTTTTGGGGTCCCAGTTCCTATTGTCCCTTTTGAAGTTACATGACTGTCCCTGTTATTACTCTAACTCATGATGGACAAAAGTAAGGGTTCATAGGTTTGAATCAAGTCACTGTTTCACTTGGAATTCTTTAGTAGTTTCTCCTTGCCTGAAGAGAAAGTCCAAAGTCCTTAAGGCAGTAAATGATTTGGCCACTTCTTAGCCAGCTTTTTTGTTTTTAATAACTCTGTACTCCAGCAAACCATTTCTTAAATTCCCTAAACATTCTTGCCTTCTCTCACTTCCATTCCCTTGCAAAAACATTTTCTTTAGCTGGAGCACTCTGGCCCTGATCTTCATCTAACACTTCTTATCCTTAAAAACTAAGCACAGGCTTCTTTGACCCAAGAAGGCTTCCGTGACAGTCCTCCTGCCTTAAGACTGGTTACGGTGCCCAAACTCTATGTCCCATGGCACCCGCCTCTATTTATCACACAATACACTGTGCTGTGCTTTTAACTTTTTATTTTATTTTATCTAAATAACAGAAATGTAGGCACAAAGGAAAAAGTGATATAGAGAGGTGCAGAAAGACAAGTAAAACATCTCATACCATCTCCCAGCACATCTTTCTGCCAAAAATTAACACATTGAACTTTCAGAAAAATGGCTTATGTATAATCATACACATTTTATAAGTGAGGTGATACTAAACATGCTGCCCTGCATCTTGTTTTCTCCTCTCATATGAGAAAATCTTTCCATCCCAACACATAGACATTTACTTAATATTTATAATAGCCAAACAGTATTCTACTGTAGCAATAAAAGAGAATTTTATTTAATGAATCTCAAGTTGATGAATATTTGTTTTTTTTCAGGGTTTTTATATTATTTCCCTATCTTAGCCAATTTTTATAAGTGTATCTCTAAGGTAAGTTCTTAGGGAGTGGTTCAAGGGACATTTAAAAATTTTGAAACATATTGCCAAACAGAACTCCAAAACGTTTTCAGCAATTTAAAATTCCTACCAACAGTATACAAATTTTCTTATTTTATTTTCTTTCCAATATCAGATATATCAAACTTTCTAATGTTTGCCTGTTTGATTGAAATGATATCTTTTTGTTGTTTTGATTTGCATTTTAAAAATTCTTATTGAGGTTAGACATCTTTTCATATATTTCAGGTCATTCATATTTTATCTTTTCCTGAGAACTCTGATATAATCTATTTATTTGTTTGCTTTTTTGGGCTCTTTCTTTTTTATCTCGGGAAAGCTCTTTGAAAATTAATTAAGAAAATTAACCCTTTATTTGTCATGTTCTGAATATTTTTAACAATGTGTTATTTGTCCTTGGGTTTTAGCTATGAACTTTTTTCCATACAAATTTTCTTAAGTTCTCAAATGTGATATACCAGTTTTCTTTATGGCTTATGGGTACACTGTGTGTCTAACATCTGTTTTCTTGGCAGGAAATCCAGACCTGGTATTCAAAAGGGAAAATTACCCTTCATGCTAAAGGATTATTTTGAAAGCCATAGAGAAGTGAAGGTATATTTTATTTTATTACAAAATGCTTCTCTCTTCTGAGTCCTAAGGAGATCCTGTCTCAGCTCCTAAAAGCTGGCAGGGCAAAGGGGGCCAGACAGTCTCAATTGAGGATTTCTTAACTTAATTGAGGTTGGGTTTCAATTCCAGCCCAGCCTTGGGAGAGACCTTATCTCTCTAACTATCTCCCTTGTCAATGCACAAATATCACCCAGCCTGCTTGCCAAGAAGAAGAAAGGTCCCTCACTCTGAGAAGCCACAGCTCTGATTCACTCTCTGTAGTTTAAAAGACAGTTTATTAAGCTCACTACTGGAATCTTCCCACATGTTCTTTCTGTCATGAAATAAAAAATAAAGATTGTCATTTGGAGAGGTCGGTGTCCAGACAAGCTGCAAGGAATAGATTGGCTCAAGCTGGTGGCTTTCCATCCCCCTCCACATGGTTGTAACTTATAAACATACCATTTTAGGCAAGCTGCTCCCCAAATTTTGGGAACAAATAGCACTGTGGCTCTGCAGGACGTTCCCACTGACTTTCCTTCATCTCACTGAGAACCCCGTGGGAAGTTAAAGACAAGTTCTCTCAAGATAGCAGCTGTCCCAGGTGTCCCATGTGAGTTACTGGGCGCTCCATGTCTGTTTGGACGCATGCGGGGCTCTTCATTGGCTATGCCAACGACAGAGTCAAAAGTAGGGCTGGGAGAGGATTGGAGATGCCAGAAGCAAGTGTGAGGAAAATGCCCAAGCGTAGCCCTGAAGAAAACCCAGTCGTGGAATTGGCCAAAATCGGACAGTGAGTTACCACAATAGAAGACGCAAGGTTGGAGCAGAGACAGAGGCAGAATCCGTGGCCAATCCGAGGGCAAAGCCTGGAGGAGTCACCATACAAACAGAACAGAAGTGAAGGTGCAGGTACTGCAGAGACAGAGGCAGAATCCGTGGCCAATCCGAGGGCAAAGCCTGGAGGAGTCACCATACAAACAGAACAGAAGTGAAGGTGCAGGTACTGTCTGTCAAGCTTTCACACACAGCAGGACAGCCTCTCTCAGAAGCCCCTGTGCCTGCCCCATAGGCGCGGCTCTTCGTTTAGAAGCAACGTTTGCAACCTTCAGTTTCAGAAATGGAACCAAAGCTCGCAGGACCGGTGCAGGAGCGGCGACCAGGCCGACACTGACTGGGTCTCCACGAGAGCGCCACACGTCCAGGGGGACGGGTTCATCCTCAAGTGTCGGAAGTCAGGTGTGTGGGAGCAAGGGCTGGGGAGCCCCCAGGCATGCGGGTCTCTGGGCCTGTGCCTCTTTTCCATTCCTTGGTCTTATTCCGGCCCTCAGCTTTAGCTCTTTGATTGTATTTTATTTTCCCTAGTTTAAATATTGGTTTCACTTTTCCTTTTTGATTTTTAATTGTGCTTTTAGAATCACAAAGTAATACCTGATCATTGTAAAACAATTAAGGAATATGAAAGTATATAAAGGACAAAGTGAAGTCCCTTTCTCACACTCCCACTCCCCAGTGGAAATCAATGTTAAAAATTAGGTCTGTATATATTTAGATTTATTCTAGGTATCTACATAGACCTAGGTTATTTTTTAAATATATGGTTACTGTATTTGTATTGCACTGAAGCCTTGCTTTTCTTCACTCAGTCACACATTACAGACCCCATTCCATTTCAGAATATAAGTATTAACTTCATTCTTGTAATGACTATGTAGCAGTCAGTGAGAATTAACCATCCTCCTATTAATTTTACATTATAAATAATGTTGCCTTGACTATTCTCGTGCAGGTGATATTGCCCACTGTGCGGTGTTTCTGTGGGATGAATTCCTAGAAGGGAGTTGCTGAGTTAACAGGCAGACACATTTTAGATTTTGACAGGTACTGTCAAACTGCTTTCTTTGCTCCAGTTTATACTTAGACTGACAGTGTTGGTGAGACTCCTTTCCCCCACCCCATCATCACTGAATTTTCTTGTTTCATTTTAAAAACCAGAATCTGACTATTGCACAATCCATGCTTTGATATTACAGTGCTCCGAGCCTGGCACTAATCTTTTACTTATGAATGTGAGTCTGGAAAGCTAGAAACTCCTGGTCTGGGCTTCTTGGGTCTTACTTACTATTTCCACTCTTGTATTACTAGGACTTATAAAATTTTGATTTTTTTTTAAAACAATTCCACAGTTTGCACAGTTTACCTGGTGTCTTCCATGCTTTGCTTCATTTAACCCTTACAAAGTTTCTGTTAGGTATGTAGGGAGGGAACTTTTATTCTGGTAACCCAGAGCAATCAATGACTTTCTTAAGTTCAGCTAGTGACTAAAGGAGAGAACTAGGACTTGAATACTAGCCTCCAAAGCTCAGAATCCATGTTCTAGCTGCCATTTCCCTGTCTACCTCTCTGAACAGATAGCCCCCTCAGAGTTTGTGTTCCTGATCAATAGCTTTCTACCCTTTTCAAATACCTAATATCTAGAGAAACTTAAGTTTGTTGGTAGTTTGGTTGGATTTTCGGCTGCTGGAATGTGCGACTTAGGGGCATCAGTTTTGTTCATGCAAACGTTTCACAATTTGGACATTCTGGTATGTGGCCCAAGGTGACCTGGGGCAGTATCTGCAGGAAAAGATAACTGGCAGGGTGCCAAGAGACCTCATGATGCCCTTATAGTAAGTGTCACTGCTGGAATTGGAACCAGACCCGTCAGACTCCAAATCCAAAGCCTTTTTACACTTACCTGCACCTCCTCATATAGAGCAAGATGCTCAGGGCAGAAGACCAATGCATGCTTTCCTCTAGGCAAATTACATGCGAAGCCAAATTCTCAGAAGATTGCATGCTGACCACAGAATGAGAACAAAGAGAATTCAGGGTTTTAAGAAGCTTATTTCAGCTCAAGTAACTGAATGCAAGCTTCCCCATTAGGGAGTCACATACTCAAAAACCAACAGATGCTCAAAAGAGTATAACACAGACGAGTAAAGCAGGGAGCAGGTGATGATGGGAAGTGGTGGAGACTGGCAAACTGGAGATTGCACACCTTTCAAAAGGTAGCAGGTGCTACTATAAAGCTCTAGCCCTTTGTTGCTAGTTGTTTAATAATACAGCTCTTCCCAATTATTCAGTAAAAGCTAGAAACCTGAATTTTTCTGTATGACATTAGTAGAAAACTTTAAAAAATATTATGAGTCAATTACAACGTGGACCAAACAAAACTTGTCTGCAGGCTAGGCCAGGCCTATCAAGTGCCAGTCAGTGATCTTTTGCTGTAGGAAAGCTTTTACAAGAAAACCACAATGCCCAAGCCATTTAGAAATGGCTCCTTCACCTCTAAGGATTAGAATCAGTACTCTTCAGATTTTCCATTTTATTCTTTAGGACCAACCTCTGTGTACAGTCATTCTCCAGATAGAACAGAATGTGTGAATTTTACTAATTTTACTCTCAGAGGATAGCCCAATGTTTAGGTCTTTAAGAGGTCCTTCACTGCGGCCATATTGTAGAGAAAAGAAACCTATGTCCACTTTTTTCAGACATTAAAAAGTTATTTTTAAATATAGAACTTTAACTTTATTGGTTTACAGGGTTTTTTTTAGTGACCATTTTATTCCCTTAAGAAAATTTGGAAGCATTACAACTAATAGGAGTCAAAGGAAGAAAGAGGGACACTCTTCTAGATACCAAAATGAACAAGAGGAACTGGCCTGGATTTTAATTCAGGATGAAGCTAAAATTTCTTTCTAGGTCTCAGGGATCTTGGAATTGACCCTCCTTCCCTGCAAATGGAGATACAGATACTCCTGATTTGTGACACACAGCAGCTTCAGTTACATATAAACTATCACTGGAAAGGGGAGAAGGAGAGAAGCTTCCAGAAATGGAAGGCAGCTCTGCCCTTTAAGCACATCTTGCCAATCAGAACATGACACTGTAATGCATGAAGCACATTTCCAAAAGAAATGAACTTGTGAATTTAATAGCATTTGGGCATAAGGACTGCATCAGCACCTTCAAATAATCATGTCCATAATCAACTAAAAAAAGCTTCTCTTCAGTTAACAAGTGTTAATCCTTCATAAAAGAACTATTAACAAGACACTAATTCAATATTTGCTAATCAGACTTCTCTGCTAGCCTACCTTACCTTTAGTACTAAGACATGATACATGGTGACAAATTCCAAATGACATTTGGCCAAAATCTAAAACACCCAGATCTCATCTCCTACCCCTGTAGTCTTATGCAACAATGATGCCAATCCAAAAAAAATCTGACATTTTATATGTTTCTAAAGTTTCTCTGAATCATCATAAAGATTGTATATGCTCTTGTGAAATGTGTGTCTATTGTTTTTATGGTAAGTCAATTCTTTGAAAACTGGTAATTTGAAATATGAGACTTCCCAAGGCAGCCTTACCAAGAAAATTCCCCCAAATTTGCTTCTTGACCATCCCACCAGCTTACCCAAGAATTTCATGTGATTTCCACTCCTTAGACTTGGGTGGTGAAAAGCATAATTAAATAGATATGGGCTTGACTCCTGTGTACTTAAATGGATAATTTTGGGCAAGCTTTTTAACTCTCTGAGTTCAGTTTCCACAACTGAAAATGAAGAATAACAATACTTACATCATGAGGGTATCTGTGAGGGAAATGAATGAGATGATGTATAATAATGACATACAACACAGTAATACTTTCATAAATGGTAGCTGCTACTGTCTTCTTTAACTCAGTTACCAATGAGGCATATAAAAATGCATTCTGCTCTGAAGGAACTCTCTTGGTTAGAGAGAAACTGCAACCAGCATGAAACACTACAAGACCAATCTAAGATTGTTTATAGGAAAGGGCTAAGTGGCCCACTTGCAGGTGAGAGACATTATGAACACAGAGTATTCTTATTCTTCCATTCTCACCTGTTCCCAACAGTGAGAAGCAGGGTGGGACAGAGGGAGACCCAGCTCCCCACCTTCCTGCCCAGTGA